AGCATATAAGAAAAGATCCAACAGGTTAAGGGCATCTCATAACCGTTCAAAGCTTGAAAATAGGTCATCTCTATCTACGTAGTGCAAATTAAGAGTAATATAATTTTCGATTCATTATGCTGCATAATCAGCAATCTTTAGAACTCCACCGATTATAAGCTTTTCTTGACAATGCAATTAAAAATTGAGAACGAAGACAGTATATTTGCAAGCAAAACTTCAAGGTTATCCACATATATATCGTAAAAGCTTGGATGTCACAGAACATTCTAGCAAAAGAAAGGAAAAAAACTTGCATGTCAGACATAAGGCGAAAGGAAGAATGCCACCCACATATGTAGTGTAGGAGACGAAGGGTGGGATGAATTAATGAGCAGTTGACCAATGAACTTACTTTTGCAGTGATGATGGCAAAAGGAAGAATGTTTGTGCAAGTCCTTCCTCTCTTTGCTCCGTTCCAGCTGCAGTGATCTGCAAACGAAGAAGGCTATGAAGATGGGGGGAAAAAAAATGTAGCACCAGCCAAACATCACACCACACACAAGGGAATAGGAAGAAGCTATGACATTATAGTGAGTTCCAGCAAAAGAAAGGAGTAGATTCAAACATACCCACTCATATAGCGTAGAAGACGAGGGACAAAAATGAAGGACACTGAAGAAGATGAAGGAGCCGGAGAGCAGGCGGTAGAGGGAGAAACGTTTGTGGGGAAAGCTGGAAAAAGAGATGAAAGTAAGCCTGAGAAATGAGGCGGGGGATTCAAAATTCAAAATATGATCTACACGAAGCCATTTGTTGTGGGCCATATGACACAAAGCCCAATAAAATCATTATTAAGCCAGATATCTCTTATGAACAGTAAAATGAGTCTGGAACTACAAAGTAAGCCGTTTGAGCCGTGGCTTGAGTGGAATAGTATTAAAAGATATATTGATAGGAAATAGTATATTTTTATGGCCAACACATTTTTGTTTTTAATAATATTTGGGTTTGCAAATTTCTAAAGGAAAATTATAAATTCTGGAGAAATATTTACAAATTGACTTATAAATTCTGTGCAAAAATTTGTAAATAATATATATTGAAGTCAAATTGTATCAATATTTTAATAAGATATTGTTTAAACGCTCAAAAAACGTGTTTTTTTAATTACCAACGCTACTGCCGTAAATGATAATCCAGTAACCATAGCAAATCAAAATGATATCGTGATATTTTACATGAGCGCAAAAATAACATTAATCTTTTGATATTTATTAATTTCGCTATAAAAAAACTTATATCTTTTTTTCGAGAAAACGTCTACAATTCTCCTTACCCTTAAAATGTAGGTGAAAAATCTTCTTCATCCTTTTCTTACTACACAGTCCTCCTCTAAAAGGGTGTTCAACCTTCTTGTTAGGGGTGTGTGATGATGCCTTTTGTCGTCAAAGCACTCAATTAAACTAGGTCCCAATTAATTTGTAGTTTAGGGTCAACCTAGGTCATTACTTCCAAGGAGCAAGTTATGGGTTTCTTTAGGTAAAATTTAGGTGATAAAAAAAATGTAATAAATCGGACCTAAACTAAATGCAAAATTCTAACTCTAAATGCAAGATGCAAATATCCTAAAATCTATATGAAAATTAAATTAAACTAAATGAATGCAATGCAATTTTGGGGGGGGTTTTTTGAAGGAAAATAAAAATAATGAATAAAGAAAATTAATCAGAAAGAAAAGAAAATTAAGAAATGAAAATTGAGAAGTTCTCTTCAGGTAAGGTAGAGGGGATAACTTAGGATTCGCATGAATTCAACCTTCATAACCTTAATCAATTAATTAAACCAAAGAGAAGTGATAAGAGAGTGGAATTAATAAACTTAATTACCTATTTGAAATAAAGGGAACCCTTAATCTCAAAAACCCTTAAACCATTAGAGAACTCATAACAGTATAAGGTTGGTCAATTAAGCTTATCAAAACCAATGAAGATATCTCAATTTAATTTTGGAAATTATGTTTCAAATTATCCAATTAAACAATCAGATAATCAACCAACTTAATTAAACAATTAAGAGGTGAAAGAACCCAAATTTTGCAATTCAAACCACATTGATAATTAAACTCATAATGAAAACTCAATTATAAATTCAATTAACAATGCAAAGGTTCCAAACATATATTCCAACAAATGTCTCAACACAAATAAAATCCAAATATCAATTCAATCCAAGAATAAAATTGACAATCTAGAACTAAATTGTCTCAACAGAAATACAACTTAAAATCATTTAAAACTAAATAATTTTAAGTCCTTGAATTAAAAAGATGAATGGAACATCACTCCCTTGTGGTCTTCAAGTGCTAGCCCAAGGCTCAAGTCTTTTCCATGCTCCTCCCAAGTTGCCTCCCAAAGAAGCTTAAGCTTCCATCAAAATGTCTCCTCCTCCAAGGTTATTAGATGCCATAGCCATGAATGATAAGATGTAGATGGGAGTTGGCCGTGCAATGAGAAAGGAGAGGAATGATTGAAATTGGTGGGTGAATGAGGTGAATGAGGGGGAGGAGAATTGGCGTCCAAAACTTGTATCCGTGCGTGAATCAATGGAGAATAAAAAGATATGATTTGGCGTGTGGGTTGTCCTCTCAAATAAGGAAAATATTTTGACGGGGGAAAAGGAAATTTTTATGAATCTAAAACTCAAGCCCATTAGTAATTAATTGGCCCACTTGATATTAGCCATTGGATTGTGCTTAAATCCCAAGAAACAATCTTGTACCATTGGATCTCCTATATGCCCCTTTCTTAACCTACAAGAATTTAAGTGCATCAACAATTAAATATTAAATCTGCACAAAAATTAGGCAAGAAAGTGCAAAACTTTCTAAAAATAATCTTTCTAAAAATATGAGACTTGTTTTCAAAGAAATAGGAAAAATTAATTCCAAGTCAAAAATAGGAAATCACAAAATATCTATATTTTTAATCCAAAATCTCAATTTTTATGCAAAATCCAAAAATCAACCAATTTATCCAATAATGCATAAAAAGTTCATTTAAGTTCAAAATTATCATTTAAATCCTGAATTAATGTGGGATAAAATATATAAAAATTGGGTTTTATCAGTGTGCATGGATAGGACTGGGCAGGACAGGACCCCTGCCCGATGCCCAGCCTGAAAAATGAACGGGTTGCAAAATGCAGCCCGGTGCCCGGCTCTACCCAGTAGAAGCCCATGCTATTTTGGATTGAGTTATTACGGGCTGGGCAGAGCGGGCTTTCCTTGTCCAAATTTATAAATTGAGTCATGAAATTGGTGTATGTCTTAACAAATATCTATACTTTAAAAATTTAACAATATCTATAATTTTATTAAAAACAAGACAATAAAACATTGTAATTAAAGTATTAAAGTCCAAATGATTTGTATCAACCTCCACAAAGTTGAGAAAATAACAAAACATATTAAAAAAATACAAGTTATATTAACATGTTCAATTATATTATTAACTTATAGTTTAATATAACTTATAGAGATCTATATATTACATTCAAATTGGTATAATTAGTATTATTTCATGATATATGAAGTAATATCAACATATAAAAGTTAAAAAACAATTATAGTACACAGCAAGATAATTTAAAAAAGTTAAAAAAGGTGGTTTTTAAAAAAAAAAAAACTAGAACTTTAAAAATATAAAATCTAATAATACAAGGAAGTAATGTTCCTTTTGCCTATTGAAGTATAAGAAAATATAGTATATTAATATTACACTATATATATTATAATTATGAAAAAAAATATATTATAATATAAATAATTAGATATGTATTTCGAGCAAGGTTAAATGGACAGGACTGCATGCCATGCCCATGGCACGGCTCTGCCGATGAATGGCCAAACCCGAAAATGCCTATTTTTTCTTCGAGCTGTATTTTTTGAGTTGGGCATGACATTTTTTAGGCGGGCTTGAATGGGCATACCGGGCTACTAGGCTCATGAACACCCCTACTTCTTATTGCTCAATGCTCCTCTAAAAAGTGTTTTGGTGAAAATTAATATATAATCTTTAAAATAATTTTATGGTATAAAAAAAGAAATATGTAAAAAAAAATTTCTTGATTAATGTAAAATTATTTTTTAAAAACGCTTTTAAATGAAACGAAACACCCCCCCAAACAAGATAGAGATTCTTTTGTTTTTTTGGTCAAAACAAGATAAAGATTGAAAAGAAAGAAACAGAGGAAAAAACATGGACTCACAACATTATATGAAAAAAGCAGTGTAATTGCTTTTTATCTGAGATCAGTCCAGAGAGCCACAATATATGAGCTCACTTGTTGATGAATGGAGAACCGAATAATGATTCCCTGATTGGAAAATATCATATGAACCGAGCAATTTAAGAGCTTTTTATCTAAAGATCAATCCAGAGATAATATATGTGCTCGTTTTGTTGATGAATGGAGAACTGGAATAACGATTGACTGGCTGGAATATATGTGAACAGAGCAATGTAAGAGCCTCTTATCTAAGATCAGTGCTGGGTCATATGCTCATTTGTTGATGTAAAACAATGATCAGAATGAGCTCACGAGAGGCAAAGTCTGTTTTTGGTTCATTCGGATGTTCAACACATAACGAAGAAACCGAAAATGAACAAAAGCGTAATAGGCAATTTACAGAGTGAACAATAATACAAAAGTAAGTTTTAGAAAATTGCCAGAGAAGCATAAAAACAGGATTATTATCGTTCTAATTTAGTAATTAGTAATTTCAACTGTTGGCAGAGGAAAAATTTAGTAATTGCAACTCACAATATTTCTCCAAATTTCATTCGATGGAAATGTGAACTTAGAACTGAAGGGAAGGAAGTCTCAGAAACAACTCTACATTTTCCATCAATCAACAACTTCAGATGGCACTTGCAACATATAAGTGCTATCATCATCGACTTCACTGTCTCAAAACCCTAAAATTAATTAAATAATAAATGAATTACCCACAATTTTGTGAATGTAATCGCATAAATCGGCTCCGAAGGATCAGGAGATGAGAGAGATCCACAGATTCCTATCAAAATACGAAACAGAGAACTCACTCTCAATCTGATCATAGCATCGCCGGTCACAACACTTTGTAGCTACCGGCAACATGGCATCGGACATTTGGGAAGAAGAATAATAGGGCAAAGAGAAAATCAAAACAGAGAGGGATCGTTTTTCAATGGCTTTCCCTCTTTTTGTTGCATTCGGCAACGAATAAGGCGTAGATCTCCAATGAAAATGAAGAAGCCTCGCCGAACTGTTCTAAATCACATGAAAGAAAAAGAAACCATAGAGGCGGCGAGAGCTGAAGATGACGAGAAGAAATTAGAATAAGATCCTGTTGATATGAGAGCGAGACCGAACCCTAGCTCTTCTATAATTTACTATTTTATCCCTCTTTCCAGTCATGCCCGACGAAATTAATTGTATTTGTTTTTCAGCCAGCCGAAGAAATGAGCTACATTGTACTCCTTCCGTCTCTCTGTTTTTTTTTTTAATATGTAACAACTATCATTTTCTTTTTGTCTTTATATATAAATAATATTTACGGGTTGTTTTAAAATTTTGTAGTAAATTTTTTATTATGTCTCTATTAATTACTTATTTTAATACTAAATATATTCATTATGTCATTTCCTAAGCTATATATCATTTTTATCCATCACATATTATCTTTTTTTTATAATTCTCTTTATTACACTAATTTTCTTATTCCCTTTCTTATATTTTCTCTCCCATAAATAATGATATTTGGAGAAAAAATTTCAATTCCTACCCTTTTATTATTTTTAACCAATTTTTTGATCTGCGTAGTGGGGTCCAAAGTTGTTTATTAAAAAAAGGATGGATGGAGTAGTTGGCAAAAAAAACAAAAGAAGAAGACCTTGTAAAAAAAGGAGAGCATTGTAATCAAGTCTCAATAAATGAATATAATTACTAAAAAATCCCAACAACAACCTAATCAGTCAACAATGACAAGTGTTAGAGTAGGAAATGATAACTTTTAACCTGTTATTGAGACTTATTAGTAGTTATTTTTTTTCCTTAAGATTTCATTGTAATTCTTCTTGAAAAAACAGTAAAACTTAGAGAAAATGACAAAAAAGTGATTGTTGGAAATGATCACTTCAAATAAGAGAAATTCTCTTTTAGTCACACATGACCAAATGGGAATTTTCTAATTTGATAGAATGACCATATTGTTCTGATAAATTAAAGAAGGGATATATTTATGACTTCAATAATACAGTTAACAAGTCATGTAACCATATTAAGAACTCTTATAACGCTATTACTACCTGATCTTAGAGTCTTTTACACTTTGAGAGATTAGTTAGTGCGCAATAAATGAAAATTTTTCTACTCTTGTAGTGCAATTAACAAGTTATTTAATGTTATTAACAAGTTTGGTATTACTGTTTACATGTTTTTCAAGAAATTAAATAAATATCATTTTTACAGTAGGTTTTCTAATTCATAAGGGTAATATGACCATGTTATCAAATTACAAAATTCCTATTTGGTCATGTTTGATTGAAAGATAATTTTCCTTACTAATATTTAAAGGAAAAAATTCAGAAAAAATTAATTTCTAAATCATTACAATTTCATCTGATTTTTAATTAATTTTTTTTATTTTTATTAATTGGGTTGCTGCCGTTGATTTACAAAAATACAAAATAATGGGATGTTTTGAAGATAAAATTATGAAATAAAATTTTTTTATTATCAAAATGAAAAAAAATTATTATGCTAACAGTCACTTTATTAGAAAAAGAGATTTTAGTAGAATGTATCGAGTAACGTTTGTTTAAGAAAATACTATTACTCCTCATTAATTTATCTTTTTTTAAAAAATAATTTAAAAAGAAGTTATAGAGTACATTTTGATTTATTTATTTTTTTTCTAAATTTGAAAGAGTTTTTTTTTCCTGACCTGACTAAATTTGAGAGGGTTTAACACTTGGTGTCTTGATGATCAAACAACGGCCACAAGCCCCCTTGGAGCGCGTGCTTGGCCTAGCATAGAGACGTAGAGCTAGGGGTGGTTTAAATTTTAATTTATGTGACTTTTCATTCTTAATATAAAAGTTTATTTGATTTGTATTCTGGTTCTTAATATAAAACATCAATTCATTTTATCTCTCATATTTTTTTTTCAAAGTAGTTCTTGTAATAATAGTAGTTTTAGTCAATATACTTGACTAGCAAGGATATTTTAGAAAAGACAATACCTATTTATTATAAATAACTAACTTAACTAGTTTTCTTAAACTACTCAAATTAGTTACTAGCTCTTATATTAAAGATCTGAGGTAATATTTCTTAAATTCGTACTACCTGTAACCTTCAGCCAGATAAGCACTACAGGTTATCGCCCAACAAAAAAAGAAAAGCACTACATGTCTATATATTAGAAATTAGAAATAAATTATAAATATAGAGACTAATATTTACAATTGAGAGGATAACAAGGGCCCAAAAAGAAATAACTGGAAAGACTTAATTAACAAATTAGAGAACTTACAAAACTTGCATTTGCACATCAAATTTTTCTAAAATGAAAAAGGGTGCTCCACATGGGATTGGGATGCCTCATCTAGAAATGCCAGCTCGGCCACACATGGCTGTCCAAACCATCAGATGCAGCAACAACTGCGATCAACTAACTTCTAATCCTTTAATATATCTTCAGAGGACAAATAAGTTTCTAAAATTCTATTCACATTTCAGTACAGTCATGCATTGACATTTGTAAGAAAAGAAAAGTGCTACCTCCAGTCATCTGGTTGACTAACTTTAAGAGATTAAAAAAATACTAAATTACTTAATTATAACATATATTATATAATTTTCTTAAAATATTTATGAGTATCATTAGATTATATATCAATTTATAAGAAGGCAGATTAGTTTTTAAAAAAATGATAAATAATACAAATAATTTAAAATAATTTAATAACTTTCTCAATTTTCTCAAATTAGTTACTCAGGTCTTATATTAAAAACCAAAAATAGTATATTATTATTAATGGTTTATAAATAATAAGTCTCTAAATGAAGAGAAATGCTACTTAGCTTAAGTGTTAGTTTTAAGGTTATAATTATATTGATAATTTTGGTGGGAAGGTATTATACTATCTCCGGTCCTAATTATAAGAGCCAATTGACTAATTTGAAGAGATTAAGGAAGTAAGTTGAGTTAGTTATTTGTCTTAAATATGTATTGTATTTCCTAAAATATCCTTACTAATCAAGTATATTAACTAGAACTATAAGTATTAGAAGGATTATCTTGGAAAAACTGAGTAAATATGAGAGACGAAGTGGATTAGGGTCTTATATTTAGGATCAAAATAAAAGTCAAATGAGGTCTTATATTAAGGATCAGAGGTAGTATTAAACATGGAAGTGGAAGTAGGTTTCTCCATTCTTGTAAATTCCAAATGAGATGTTCATTTTTATCAATCATTTGGATTAAAGCCACGTCTAGATGTGTTCACATGTCCCATTAAAAAATGGATGTCCGCTTCTCTCTAGATCTCTCTCTCATGTAATATTATACTCCTCTAATCCTTAATATAAGATCTATTTAACTACTTTGATTAAATTAAAAAAGTTAGTTAAGTTAGGTAATAATCATAAATATAGCATATGTTTCCCAAAATACTTCAGTTAAGAGCTTTTTTTTGGTTACTTCAATCCGCTACACACCCACACGCACGCATCCACGCTAATCATCAATCAATATCAATATCAATATCAATATCAATGTCATCATCATCATCAATATATATATTAAAACTCTTCCACCAAGCCACTTTTAAAAATGGCTTACTATTGGCTCCACACCTAAATTACTGTTCACAAGCCATCATAGGATTCTCGGGCTTCATGCTATGTGGCTCAATTAAGTGGCCGCGTGCAGCATTGCTTTACGATGGTCAAAAAAGACATTGTAACTTGCTTTAAAGGTCGTTGAAGATTATTTTTTAAATTATTCCATATCCTCTGAAGTTCCTTTTGAAAACAAAATCTTAGCAGAAATTTTTATTATTCACCGTAAACTTGTAAAATTTTTACTTTGTAACTTGCTTTTCTTTATTTTAAATACATGACAAGAATTATCGTTGAAAACTAGATATTTCTCTTTCTTACCTTTTTTAGATATACAGAAATTTTAATATATATTGATATTGATGATTTTTTAGATTATTTTTCAAATTATTTCATATCTTTTAAAAACCAAAATTTAGCACCATCTTTTATTATTCACTATAATCTTATAAAAATTTAAATTTTTAACTTTTTTATTTTAAAAACAAGGTAATAATTATGAATGAAAATAAGATATTTTTTCTTTCTTGCCTTTTTTAAATATTGAGAAAATATTGGAAAAATTATTTTTTCTTAAGTTGTTGAAGATTATTGTTTTAATTATTTCATATCCTTATAAGTTTTACTTACAAAAAAAAAATCTTAGCACAATCATTCAGAGTCGCAGTGATGCAGAAGCAGAACCGTAGAAGGCTGAATCGCAGTTGCAGAGACATGCAAATGGAGAAGAGGCCAACAACTCTAGAGGCAAGAGAGAATCTATTTCCGTTTTGGGTCGGTCCCTAGAGAGACAGTTCCATTCAAATTCAAAATTCAAAATCATTTGACTGAGCAAATGGCTTCCCTCCTTCAAGCATCAAACCCGAAAGAAAGATTCCAGAAGGTTGTGATCAAACTTCTCTCCCCTACATTCTCATCTCTCTAATCCAAGGGTTTTCAAATTTTGAATACCCTCTGGGGCGTTCCATCTCAGGTTTTTGAGCACTTTAACCCCATCCTCTGCCATCAAATCTCACCTAGGCAAGTGGGAAAAGTTATGTTCTTCATTTTTTTCTTTGATTCAGATTTCCTTTTTGTTGCTTTGTGAACCGTATCTTTCATCTGGGTTGAAGGTGAATGATTTTGGTCTTATTATTTTGTTAGATGATTCTAGTCTTGGTTTTAATGGTTAGGTGAGGACCCGAGTGGGGAGCTGGCTTTATCAGTTTTAGAAATGAACGGGCAAATAGCTATCATGCGAGGAGGCGAGGGTGGGGAGGAACCGACGAGGCAGAGAAAGAAG